AAAGAAACTCGTTTCAATGAAATAACAAACACAAGAATTATTTTCTTTGTACAATAAATTAGCTTATTCATGAAACTTCTCAACTATTTCTGCTATTTTTTTCTCCAAGCAAAAAAGTGTTACATCTATATATGAACGATAAAAAAATAAACTTCGAACAATTTTGTTCATTTCAAGATCTTAAAACTTTTCCTTGTACCCTCAAATAGATCTAAATTAAATCTATTTACGGATGGTATGCCTTAGATTCCATCCATTAATTTTTGAAATAAGCTGTCGTCGGATCAATGAAATAGGATTCAAGCAAAGTTTATTCTGAAACTTTACTCCCTTAGATCTATCTGAGGCGGCTAAAAAAATACTTTGGGACCTTAAGTTGAGAAGGATCAATCCTAAGACACATTTTAGTGACTCATTTTTATTGCTATAAGAGTTATTCGGTATAATGTAGCATAGCGCCGTAAACAAAAGTCGCTCAAAATATTTTAAGAACTCAACTGCAAGAAATCTAGTACAGCTAGAGATTTGTTCTCTGTCGAAACATCAAGAGCTTTAACACCAAATGAGTTTGATTCGAATATAAAATTTTGACTAAGCCGTTCTTTTTAAGACACTCGATCAAGACTTTCACATAGTGACTCATAAGTTATTCTTCATTTAGGTCGGAAAGGCGAATTACTCTTTTCTAGCCCAAAAAAAAAATTTTCTGAACACTAGTTTTGTTATCAATAAAAGATAGCAGATCATAGTAAATACTGCGATTAGCGTCCGAAGAAAAACATTTTTTGTATTATGTCCAGATAGTAAAATACTGATGTAAAGAACGATGAAATTCTAGCTAATGTTTTGTTTCCCATTTTTTTTTTCTAAAAATGCAACGTATTCATTTATAATCACAGAAGGCACGTCATATTGAGCTACATTCTCGTCTTTTTAGGTTATTTATTCTCTGATTGTCTAATACGCAGCATAAAGTGTATTTAACATTGAATTGTCAAACAATGTCGAAGTCAGTCAACATTCCTACGACAATTTTTATTCCCATGACTAAAGAAGAATGGATACCAAAACCATCAAAACCACGACGTATGTCAATTGTTCGAGAATTTGCTTTGAATACATCCACTCATGGTTTGCCTGGTATTGCACGTAGTCAAAGTAAACACAATTGTATCTTTTGGACTTGTTCATTTCTCATTTTTACTGGTGTTATGATCTATTTTGTCAGTCAATCAATTCGAAACTATTTTCAATATCCAACACAAACATCAGTATCGGTTGTTGTTGAACGATCACAAACATTTCCAGCAGTTACAATTTGTAATTATTCACCTATTCGTTATGATACTTTTATAGCAGATTTCTTAAATTATACAACTTCAATTAATGTAACCAATATAAACGACACAACGTTTACTGAACAACAAACCAGTCAAATTTATAATTTTTTACGAGATAAACTCAATATAAATGAATCTATGGATGAATATTTCTTTTCTCTTGAATTCATGTTAATAGAATGCTCATACAATAATCAACAATGTAAGGCAGATAATTTCACTTTTTTTTTGTCATCTAAATATGGTCGTTGTTATACATTTAATGCAAAAACAAAAGATTTAAATAATAGCAAAATTCGACAAACCAATGATGATGGAGGCTCAGGAAAGCTTATATTACGCCTCTATGCACACAGTGATCTGTATGTTCCATATGTTTCAGGCGGTTCGTTTCAATGATACTTGTTGAGAAAAATCTATATTTTCTTTCTTTGAAAATAGATGTGTCAGTTGGAATGGTAGCTATGGTTCATGACAATACAGAATTACCATTGATTGATGTAGCTGGCATTGAACTTACACCAGGACGAAAACATAAACTTGGTTACAAGAAAAAAGCAAATTACTTTTTATCTTCACCATATACAGAATGTACAGATAAAGTACCTATAGTAATGCAAGCAATGTTCGATCGATATGGAGGGGCCGATTATGCATATTCACAAGGTGTATGTTATTTACTTTGTACTCAAGCATATATGTAAGAGATGTCAAACTAAGCGATCAAGAAAATTATATATAACTGTTTTTTTTTTCTCAGCTATGACCAATGTCGATGTGTAAATCCACAAGCATGGTCAGCTCGATCAGTTATTCTTACTGATAAAAATACAATTTTTGAAGCACCACTTTGTAACTTTGCTGATGGTTGTTATATGAATGCTACTTCTAGAATTTTCAGTACAATATCAATTTGGAATCAGTTTTGTTCACTTTGCACTCAAGAATGTTCCGTTGTTGATTTCGTAATTACACCATCTTCAACATTAGCGCCATCTACTTGGTATGCAAATATAACTAAAGCCTTTGTTGAATCTCATCGTAATATAAAACCTACAAACTGGACAACAAATTGGTTATCAGAAGTTCAAAATAATTATGTTGGACTAGAAGTTGTATGTCTATCAACTGAAGTAGAAAATTACACACAAGAAGCATCAGTTCAACCGGTTGATGTTATTTCAAATGTCGGTGGTCATACAGGATTATGGATTGGAATTAGTTTCTTATCAATAATGGAGTTCATTGAAATGCTTTATCGTCTTTTACGATATCAATATGATACTACTAAACAAATCATACAAAACAAAATAAGAAGAAGACAACAAATACATGGACTTACATAGAAATGATTCGAATCTTGAATTCATTCATTTGATTATTCATGCATTACACTTTTTTTTTTATTCCTATGTGTTTCATATAATAAAAAGACACTTAGGCTTCAAATATTGACAATTTTTGTTTTTGTTCTAATTATAATCATGATTGTTTGTTTTTTCTTGATTCATCCGATACTCATCTAATTATGAAATCCGATTGTTCTATTACTAGTTGTAACTCAATTTCGATTGCGATGATCTGCACTGATCAGGAACAAATTGCTTATGGAAAAAAACTGTAAGAAAATTCGATATGAACTCAAAAAGGAAGATTCTTTTAGTGTATTTTGTTAAAACGAAGACTAAGCATAACACAACGATTTTTGAAATAGTTGGTATATAGAGAGATCTGTATTATATTTTATTCTTGATTTCTCGAACTAGACACCTGTTTGATATTTTCAAGGAACAGTGCCAGTAGTCATACTAACTTGAGATTGAAAATCAATAACTGTTGAAAATGGCTGAATAAATGGATGAAAATATTAGAAACTCACTGTCTTATTATTAGATGTGAACTAAAGAAATCTGGCGTACTTCATCTAGATCCTGTACTCCAGATGAGTTGCGAAAAAAACGTAAGAGATATTTTTTTTTCCTTTTTCTAAATGTAGACACTAGCTAAGGAATCGTGTTGATATGTCATTGAAAAAACAACGATTAGTATTGCATCGATTAAACTTAATTCTAGTTCATGTTGGCTTGATTTCATTTTCTACGACTATTTCTTCGAAAGTATGAGTATACAAAACACAGAAAGATTCTTCTTAGCTGCTCTAAAATATTCTTTACTATTTTTTCGTAAAGTGCTTGGCATTTCATTCATGTAAAATGAAAATTAAATAGAGCACATCCAAACTTTTTATGTTTTGTTTTTTCTTGTTGGACCACCAACAAAATTCCAACAAAAACAGAAAAGAAAAAAAAATGCTGTTTGAGCATGTTCTCGTATCTCTATTTTCCAGCTATAAAGTCCGTAGAAGGCAACATTGGTTGCCGATATGGTACCAAAAAGACAAAGAATATTTTACATTAACTAGGAAGAGAGTTACTAATAACTAACAATTAACTAATTAGTCAAACGGTGTTCATAGTAAGCTAGCTGATCCAATGTTTACCAACAATCATTTGTCTGCGTGCTTCCTACGACGTATGGAGACAGTATTTCTTTGATTAAAGCAATTTTGCTCCTACTATCTAGTATGGCAGCTTGAATATAATTGTAAAAATGGTCTCATTGATCTGATAGCTGCCTGTGAAAATTTTTTTAAAAATTCTTCGTTATCGTGAAGCTTATGATCTTATTAATTTCATCATATGCCTAATCTACGTATACTTCTTCTAGAACTTTTGACATAGAGAGAGTTCTTGACCTTTTCTGAATATCGGACTGTAATCAACTGACACTAGTTTTATATAATTGTCAAACAGTAGCATTGATTTTGAAAAATGAAATAGAATTTCGTAGCCTTGAGTTTTTATTATAATATGTTGGCATATATAAAACTTTTCCTTGTTTCCTTGACCGAAACCGGCTTAAAAAAACTGTTGATTTCAATGTTTATATCTCAAACTAAAGATCGTTAGACCTTTGCTAGGCCGACAAAACCAAGTCTTTTAACACTATATGCTGAACAGTTTGGTTGATTGAGCTGAATTGAGAGTTTCGGTAAATAATAGATACATAGACCCACACCCACACCCACACCCTTCACTTCAAATTCTGTAGTCTAGCTGCATATAGAAAAAAAATCATCTGGTTCATTTTTTTATTATTGAGATTAGTCAAATAATGCAGCAATGTAGTGCTACCTGTAGGCTTTCATGTAAACTCCATTTTGCCTTTCTGCATGCGAAAAAGTGCGTATTGATTGAAACGTTTACTCTATACGTCATTTTGTGTATTTTGCTTTTCGATAATAATTGCAATGACAAAGTCAATGAAGTAGGCGTCTCTAATATGGTTAGCTTTCTAGTATGCAGCCGACAATCAGTTGTAATCTGAGTTTTCTGCACCTAAAAACTGTTCTGGATGAGAAGTGATCACTTCTTCGGTCGCAATCATTTTCGATAATAATGGATAAAAGCATTTTGAATTTCTTATTCTATTAATTCAAACAAAAAAGAGCTATTCGTTTGTTGGTTTCGTGCCATTAGTTGATTTCGTACAAGTGAAAATGTTAACATGACAAACATTTTACTATACATATAAGTGCTCTTTTTTTTGCCATTCTGATTATTACTTTATTGCTTTTAACAGAACATTTCATGCCTGACAATGAGATCTATTGTTCTTCTCGTATTATTAATCTATTTCGTAGATACCATAAACGGATCTCATTTTCTCGGTGGTACCATTACATGGCGTCCAAGAAATGCATCAGCTACAGGAACATCTGTAGATATTATTATTACTCAAACTTATTCATGGACATATTCATTAGTAACATGCACTACTGCCATGATTACTAGCAATCAATTGATTCCTATCGGAGGTTATTCGTATCTTACATATCAAGTACTCAACTGTATCAGTAACTGTGGTGCTAGTTCAACTGGCTATGTGGCACCCAGTATTAGACCTTACTGTATGGACATTTCAGCACCTGTCGGGACCACTATTAGTCAACGTTCAGACATTGTTACTTTGCAAGAAGATGACGATTTTTCAGCTGCTTTTCAGCAATTTGCCTGGCGTCCACTAGCAACAACGAGCAGTGCCACTTGGTCCATCTCTGTACGCATCAATGTCAATCGAAGATCTAACAATGGCTCATATAACAATGCTCCAGTGGCTACAATGATGTCTCCCATCCTAATTCCTGTCAATCAAACAACAGTCATTAATGTACCTGTAGTTGATGATGACGGAGACATAATTCGCTGTCGATGGTCTACCACAGCCAATGGAGTAGATGAATGTGGTGGTGTGTGTCCACCAGGTTCATTACCATCAAACACTATAATCTATCCTAATTGTACCATTCTGATAATAGGTCAAATTGTTGGCAACTGGTTTGCTGTAGCACTGATGGTTAATAAGCAATACTTTATATATCTAAAAAACAAATTCTTTCATAAGTAGGTCGAAGATTTCATCAATTCAACAAGCACAACTTCTCTTAGTTCGGTGCCTGTTCAATTTCTTGTGCAAGTAGTACAAGAATCGTCATGTCCTAATCCACCTACAATTATTGGAACACCTTCTGAACAGTCATGTATAGCAGTCGTAACTGGTCAAATATTCACATCACAGCTAATTGCTATAAACAGTTGCAATTCAAATGTGACTATTATTGATATTACCATACTAGCTTTTCTTGGAATGATACGAGGAAACATCACTCAGCTAAACACAACTGCCTATTATGTTGATCTCTCATGGACACCAACCGTCTCTCAACTTGGCTATCAACTTATGTGTGCAATGGCTTTCAATAGGTATAGAAATCAACTAATAATCAATGAAACATCTAATATAGATATTTCTTTCGTCTAGCCAAAATGTACAATCATCTCAATATTGCTTCAAGTTCTATGTCACACAAACTAGTGTATGTGGATGTCCTGATAGTGTACTGCGTGATTGCTTTTTTTGATCACGATCACGATCACGATCACGAAGAAAAAGAGCTTGTGATCACGAACACGATTACGAGGAAAAAAAAGTAATCACGAACACGATCACGAGGAAAAAAAAGTAATCACGATCACGATCATCACGATCACGATTACGATTCAGTCTCCAACACTTTCATAGAGCATGCGTTTGCATCATGCAAAAATACCATTACTAATAAACCAACAAAACTTGGTGCTGAAAAGTTGAATAAGCTGATGTCTTTTTTCAAAAACATGAATGTTTTAAAGAAAAAACTTGATATTAAATCTTTCGAAATAGACAATGACCAAGAGACAAAACGAAAACATGAATCAATTGTCTTAGATAATCAATCGATAATAAAAAAATGAAAACACCGGATATTATGATCAATCATCGACATAATAGTGAAGATGTACTAAATCTTTCAAGTGAAGAAGATGAATAAGTTCTTTAATTGTGCGATTTTTTCTGTGTGTATTTCGATTTTGTTTTCATATAAATAGTATTTAATCACTTTTTTATGTTTTGTTGATCTTCTTTTTTGTTATAAGTCATATATGAACTGTCAGAACCTCTTCTGGTTTTAAATGTAAAGCATTTATTTTCGAAATAAGTGGTTAAGAGTTTGAATGTGTATGCTATGATCGTGATCATGAAGTTTTTTTATCAATCACGGTCACGATCACGATCACGAAAAAACAGCGTTCGTGATCACGATCACGCGTGATTGTGACCGTGATCGTGATCGTGATCGTGATTTTAGTGATCACGCAGTACACTAGTCCTGATGAAGCTTGTACTACAGTTGTCCAAACAACTTCTTCAATTTCAATACAAAACTGTTTGTTTCTACCCTTCTCTATTATAATAACAAAGTCTGATTCTATTTGTTTTTGTTAACAGCTTCACCTAATGGGTTGGCAATTGGAATCCCATGTGGTGTAGGCATTCTCGTAGCATTGGTCTTGGCTTATTGCATTTATCGGTTTTACTGTTGGTATGTTTGAATAATTAATTTCTATTATTATGATCTATTCTTCTGTTTTTAGTCAATCTGATGAAATTGGCTACATATACAAGACAAAGGACATTGTTGAACTGTACCATATAGAGCAGTGTACTGACGTGGATTGTGATCGGCCATATCTGTCTCGTTCCCATGACATCATCATTGTTCCTCATAGAACGTATCGGGTTTACTATGTATTATATCCAAAAGAAATAATAATCTATGAATAAATAGAGAACAATAGTTTAAGAGTTTGCAGTTGATGATGCGCTTTTTAGTCATTAATTGAATTAGTATTTATCAGCTACACAGTTAAAATGTGTTGATCGTATGATGCAAGCATTTTTTCCACAAATATCTCGAACTTTCTCATCTGCTAAACTTGATTTGAGAAATGCCAAGGTAACATTCTTACAATCTGCATAAAAACTATTTGTGGAATAGTTGTTTCAAAGAATAATTGCTTCTATGTTTGATTTTGTACTAGCATGGTCACTTCATTTTTAACTATCCAATGTATGAAAATGTACTTCTAATTGATCTGATGAATAATAGAATCATGTAAATTCGGTGAAAAGAATCAAGATCCTGATAGGGTGTGGATCTTCTCATTTTTTTCAAGCAAATCCGTACCTCTTCATCCTGTTTTAGTGTTATCCATATTAAACAACAACGAATGTGTATTCTTTGCTTTATTCGAATGACTAAAAATAATACTCGAGTTATATCTATAAATGACGTATAGAAACAAAAATGTCGCTCATCTTTCTTTTTTCATCAATTCTATATTCTAAGTTTTTTTTATTTGACCTGCAAAATGTTTTAATGTAAGATAATTTCGATGCCAAATTGACCAAACACTTTCACATCGATATTGAATACCATTTTCTTTTGTCCATCGTTGAAGAATAGGTCTTATTCTAGCATAATTATATTTTGGCATGGTTGGAAAAAAATGATGTTCAAGTTGATATTGCATTCCACCCCATAACCATTCCATAAAAAAATTATTACAATAAGCATCACATGTTGTTAAAAATTGTGTTTCAACAAATGGATAATATGAATCAATTAACATTTCTTCACTTTGATGTGTTGCTGTAACAATACAAGAAACAAGAAAACCACTAACAAGAATTGAACCTAATGCTACTTGCCAACCAAGCATATAAAGCCATAAATAATTTGGTAACATTAAAATAAGTTCACAATATTTATATGTATTAAGTGAATGTTGAAATGATTGCCATCGCCAACTTAAATATAATAATGAATATACAGGTATAAAATACCAATGTTGATAAGCTCGAAACCATACATCTTTGTTTTTTGAAGGAAAAAATAAATGAAATATTGGATCATTAGTTACATCAGTATCAATACCAATATGATTAGTATAAATATGATGAGTATTATGTTTATGTGACCACCAAGTTGGACTAAAACCATTGATAGAACCACTTAATATTCGACAAAACCATCGCATCCATATACCTCGTCCATGTCCATAATCATGTCCAATCCATCCAGCTTGTTGCATACCAAATCCAATAATAAGAATAGAAAGAAGATTATAATTCCAATAAAAATGAAAAAATGTACCAAATAAACATAAAATATAAACTGATAATAGATAAAATAATTCCCAAAATATTGATCGATTAAAATAGCCATTATTGATTAAATTTTCTCGTAATTGTCGAAATGATAATGTAAGATTAGTTAATTCAATAATTGGTAACATAGATTGAATATGAAGAGATAAACATGGTTTTAAACAAGAAAGTTTTTTAAGAGCTTCTTTACTATGAAGAGAATAGAATATATCTGTAGCATCTCTACCATTTAAATTTTGAAGAATTTCTGAACCACCTGGATGTATATGTTGCCATTGAGTAAGATCATACCATTGTCCATTAATAAATAAATATAAACGATCAGTTATATTAACTGTTGGTTCTATTAAATTTGTAGATGTACAAATATGACGGTCTTTTTCACCATTGGGAGCCATAATTAGATTGTAATGATGTGTGAGTGATCTGGAACAAGGACAAGTTGACAATGTAATTATATAAAAAGAAAACTATCAAAGAGATGAAAAGAAATAGGGCAAGACAAGCTTCATAATAATAAGAAATACTCAACAAATAGAAAAATAATAATAAAAAAAAAATCACAGCAAGATTTTTATTATTGTTGTTATACTGGTTCTTAACAAGCAAATATAACTCAAAATAATATTCTCATTTGATTAAACATCATAGAGAAACAAGAATTTTATAATATTTGTATTTGCAAAGAATTCACATGAGAAATAATATTGTATATATATATATTTGCTTTAATTGAAGTATTTGAATCATCTGACTTCATGACGTCTATAATATATTAAAAAAATACTTCATGTTATTATCAACTTTTACTTTAGGTGCTTGGAAAAGAGAACATTTTTTCCTTGTCAACTGTAATATAATCAACGTTGTCTAATTTGACTTAAAATCAAAGAAATTCACTGAGACAAAAACTGATTACTTTTGTTGAAGATCTTAGTGATATGTATATTAATATTAACATTCATGTCCAATTTGTTTTCGTTATCTGTAATTACTGTTTAACCCATTTTGTACTTTAGAAAAATATCTAGAACATTTAACAAAAAAAAACAAAATAGATAAATATATCATATGTAATCATTATGATAAACACTGACGGAATAATTTTACATTATAATACATTGGCATTGTCATCTTCTTTCTTCTTTCTTTCTTTTACAACATAAACAGAGAATGAGATACTCTCTCTTTCTTTTTCTTATCTCCCTAATGGTCTAGATTATTATTAGAAGTGGCATGACGAGAGGAAAAAAATGTAGTATGCATGTCGACACCAACTATTCTCTTGTGATTCTTTTTTTTTTTCTTCTTCATTTTCTACTTCACATTACAAAAATAAGTAGGAAACTTAAGAGATTTGTAAACATGAATTTTCTTTCTTATAACACATATCATTTTCTGAATTATTCTATAATAAGCTAGAATAGATTTTGAAGATAGACATTGTTAATAAGTAAACGTGATTTATGTTGTTTTGAGTTGAACAATCAATAATTCTAAAAGTAATGATGATGAATTACTTTGTATAAGATCTCATGTAACTCAAAGCAAACAAAAAAAACCACGACTAAACCGTTGACATAATGTTCGGTATAATGTACTCTATATTGTCAATCATGCCAACAGTAATTTCATAAATAAATAAGAGACTATTCTACGACTGTCATTCGAACACAATACAATGACAAGTGTTCCGTAGTTAGTAATCTACTTCTGGTTGACTAGGAATAGTACGAAAGAATATATGACTACTCAGAATGATCACAAAGAAGAAAATGTTTCTTAAATTTGAAAGACACTTGATATGACTATTATTACTAATCTTAAACACTTTTAGCATTAAGTTACTTAGATCTTTGTATCGCGTGATATTTAAAAGATGTAAAATGATTTTCTCTATAAGACAAATATAATCGTACTTTCATTGAACTGAACATTATTCATACTAATAATAACCGTGCAAACAAAACAAGTTTCTGCTTCAGCAATATGTAATGTGCAAGTATTTAAAATATATCTAGATTGTTCTAAATATAAATTCTATCTTAATTATTTATCACGATGAATGTGCACATAATCGCCTAGTTGATTCATGTGCATACATATGTCATAATGAATTTGAGTATTGATCTGTAGACTAAACAGGTATATTCAGAGTATACATTTGAAGACATTAGTCACTGATTGATGAAAAAAAAAACAGTAGTAGTATGTTATCGAACGAAGAGCATTTTAGCTTTTTTTGTGAATTTCATTATGAAATAAATAATACAAAATAATAAATCATTCTGGTTTCTCACTTGAATATCGAAGTCGAAACTTTTTGTAATCTAATTATAAAGTTTAATGAATAGATATATATGTATACTC